CGAATATTTCAGTCATCTGATTTTGGATTATACAATACTGCAGAAATTACGAAACTTCGGAGATGTTCCTTGCAATTTGTTCGTATGGTTCAGTAGAGAGACACAGCTGTTATCAAAACATCTGTTCAACGGTACCATTTTGCACGATTCTTGCGTCACTCATTATACCATAATCAATTTCAACTCAGTTTATTGCATCGTTGTACGTACGGTACTGATTCAGTGCCAAGATAATCTGGTTTCCTGGAATGTTTTCTCGCTTGAACAAACGGTAATGTGCTTTTGTTGTGAAACAAAATTATTCTTGCGATCCACGAAGCTCGTTTCGCATTGCATCTAGAACCTCGGAAAATGTATACAGTAATTGAGAATATTCAGCGACCTTTTAATTTTTATTTTTGATTCGACATTGAAGCAAGTTTGACTGTCAATAAATAAAAATGTTGCAGTTCTCCTTCACTGATGTTGACGAATGACATTTTGAGTATTATTCAAATGCGAGGGGCTTTTATTCGGTCAAGGCGATTTTCCTGGTTGACAATTTTGTACGGATAAAATTTTGTGTGAGCGGATACTGTCGTTAATTTCTCAGGGAATCCTTAGTCACAATGTTTTTTTTTATTATTCTAGAGATGACTAACTAGTTTGGGAAACACCATTCAACATATTTTTTTTTATTTAATCCTTTCCATCAAATTCTTTTCGTTTGTTGATGCTCATCTGGAAGTCCAATGCTGTTATGCACAATTTTTGAGGTAACTGAATCCCGGGAATGCTGGATTGTAACCGGTCGTGGCATTGAACTGGATGTCCTTGTCCTTTCGATTAAACCCAACACAATCCCGAGTTCGCCTCGAAAATGGAAAATTTTGTATTTTCGGTAAGTGCATCACGACACGGACAAATGTTTTTCTTGTGACTTGCGTTTGAGGTGAAAAATAGAAAATCCCTGATCGCTGAACGCGAGGTAAAAAAAAAAAACAAACAAAAAACAAAAAAGGTTTTCATTCTGGAATGAATAGAAGTAAATCTGTTGGATTTCCTCGTTCTTGGAATGAGGAATCCGCTTCGTCATGGAGTCGAACCGGGGTTTTTCTAGAATATTTCCGTGTCCAAATGTTTTACATGGAGAGAATGAATGCACTGTACGGTATCTTTACTGCGAGACCCGTATGCTCATGTTATACTCTCATAATATCCGTAGCTGTGCGATTTTTTTTTTTTTTTTTTTGCCTGATCGAGTACCCAGGAACCCGATTCTTCAAGGTTGGATAAATATTTACCGTATACTGAACAAATTTTTAAAACGGGTTTAAATCTTGAAAAAAAAACTGAAGAGCCACGGCAAGATTACGTCGAATAAAGCATCGCGATGAATGAGGCAAAATGTTTTTTTTTATTTATATTACATTTGGTGGTTATAGTTCCATGGTTCTGACAATTCCGGAAATATTACGCAGAAGTTTCGAGAACATTCCCGTCGGAATTTCTTATTATGGTTCATGCGATACTTGCAAGATTTTTCCGCGCTCGAAGTGGCAGCGTTGCCTTTGTTTATACAGTAGTAATATTTCAGGATTTTTTCATTTTATAAATTGAGGCAGTTTTGTTAAAATTGCAGAGAAAGCGATGACCCAGTTCCATCTGCTCTTGGTCGACATTTTCAAATCTGAAGTAAATTTGTTCAAACTAAATTTTTGAAAACTGTCTCGCGCATGACAATAATGCAGAATGTCATTTCAGGGAAGATATCTCGCATCTGTGTACGTGAAACAAATTTTTCACGTTAAAAAAATAAGCATTGAGATAAAACAACCATTGTTTGTACGTTGTCGAGCATTTGAAAAGTTTGGGAGAAAAAAAAAACCCCCAGCTAGCTATACGAGAAGTTCGATTATTTCTAGTGACCTTTTGCCGTCGGTTTATTGTTCTTCCGGCTCGGGATCTTACGCGAGTTTAGTATGACGAGGGGCCGTGAAAATTTTGCTTTTGGTTTATCCGAGTCTTTTAAATTGAAAACATATGTTCCCAGTGAATCGACGTACCGTACTAAAGTTTACGAGCTTTCACGGCCAGTCACGAATGTGCGAGTATAAAGTATATTTTTCGTTTCATCGTGTCTCGTTTGCCCAGGGAATCTCCTTTTCTGTGAAGGATACTCGTTGGTTTTAAAATTCTGTTTCTCCCGATTTTTTGGAATCGCCGCCAATCTAACGTAATGAAAAAGCAAATATTTTTTTTCAGTCATAATTATGACGCGATGTTTTTTTCAATGTTATCTCAGGATAAATTTGAAGAAATGTAGTCGTATCGTGAAAAGCAGGTGCTTTAAGATTATCAGTGATCATTGTTTTAACGTGCTGAAATCGAACTACTGTACAATACCTCCGGGTCTTGAAGTTTAGCTAGTTTTCTTTTAAGCTAGCTAATATGTAGTAGTAATAATTATGGCGACAGCGTTACAATATGGCCGTATAAGACGTCTGATAAAATGCAGTATTTAAAATCGTACTCTCAAATATTCGGGATTTTAATCATTGGATCAATTTTCTGCGTCAAGAAAAAAAAAGGGTTCGTTTGAGTTGGAACTCCGTTATTGAATCTGTGCTGTGGAATTTAGGATACAAATCTTCCGCATAGTACAAGTCGTGATTTTAATATTTTGAAGAGACGATGTATATACAGTACAGTATTGCACAAATAAAGATTATTTTAAAACAATCGGAATTGGGGAAGTTCTATAAATTTTCCGTGAACTGGCTTTAAAAACTCGCTGAAGAGTGTTATGTACTGTCGCAGAAAGAGGCTCAGTGCAGATTTTCAAGCGAATTTTCGTCTCTTATTTCCTGGTAATTTTCATTGCCAATGTGACCTTTCCTAAGGCATTTTACGATATCGTTCCATCAATTGGGGACCTTCAAATTCCCAAGTTGATCCGTTCCATCTCTGTCAGAATTTTGCGGAAAAGGCGTCCATTGATCTGGAAAAAAAAATCAATTCGATACTCACCGAAGTTTCCTTATTTCTTATTGCTCGCTTGAATTTATGGTAAAAATTAAATGTGGATTTTGGAGGCTCTGATGTACAAAATTCTTCCATCGGTCTCGAAATCTGCTGAGCATTAAGTCGAGTTATGTCGAAGGCCATTAGACTTTTGATTTGATATCGAATCATGGCTCATCATCTGGGTTCACGTTCTGAAGGTACGTTTTTTATGTTCGCCTCCGAAATTTCGCGTAATGCCCTTTTTTTTTTGCTTGCTGTCCAACCCGGAAATAAAATGGGAGCAGAATCTCTCGAGGTTGCCCCGTTTTACTGCCGTGATTTTTATTTTATTTTTACAAACTTTATTGATGAGAGGACACTGCGGTGCATCCAATAAAATATTTCACGTACTGGTGCTGTACCACGAAGTGTCGACAGGAGAAACTATAGAATCGACAGCGTGACCCACAAGGACATTCGATTGACCTGCATCAAATTTAAATGCTTGTATAGATTCGTCGATATTCTGAGTAAAAATAGAAACCGACGGAGACTATACCTGATGTCGATCACGTGCAGGTGGGAAAACAGCTTCCGTCTCATGCAAATCACCAAAAGACTTTCTGAGAATATTGTGGTGCTACGACATTTTCAAGATTTAGGTTATCTAACTTGAAGTTGAGGAATGGGATGTTAACTCGACAGGGCAAATGTTGATTCTGAAATTTACTGATTGAATCACGCGGTTACGCATATTACGCAAGTGCGTATTCGTAATTTTCGTCAGATGAACTTGGGATTCATCTTTCACCATTTCCTGACCAGCGTTTCAAGTTTTCCTCTCTCAGGTTGGAATAATGAATACAGAATATAAAAAAAATTGAAGGTGAATAGGGGCTATGATCACAGTTTCAAAATTACTTCGGAACGTGCATATTTCGTGCATTTGCCATTATTTCAAAAAAGTATTCGCATATGACTTATTTTTTATGTTCCAAACCTAACAGTCATTATGCAATGAAAATTTTTCCACTTTTGAATGTGAAGAGGTTGTTCCAAAATTTTTCTATTAATGAGAAAAAACTTTACTCAAGTCAGGGTTTCAATTCAATCCTTAGCAAATGAAAGAGCGGCTTGCTTCATATTTTATTATTGATCACGCAATATGCTCATAGTGGTTACAGTGGTTGCCAAAATAATTGAGATTCCAGGTGCTGAATACATTTTTGGAAAGCACTCTTCGTTTCAAATTTGTAAGGGAAATTTCTTTGCATTTCAAACGAACTGATGCCTGAACAGTTCTATACGCCAACACTGCATGCGTCAGTCCGTGTTAAATTCCCGTCCATTTCGAGTAAAAATTGAATGAAAAGAGCTAAAATCTCAAATCAGAACTCTCCATTGATTTTCTCTCTCACATTTCTCGAATAATTTACCTGTCGGAAGCAGTGCTTCTAAGTACTGTATTTCCATATTTTACGTGTGTGTGAAAAGCGTGAAAATGAAAGAACGGATCAAGCAAATTGGCTGATATTTCAGTCAATTTTCCCGTAGAATAACTATTGCATGGATGAAGTTGACCGTTTCTATAAGCTTCGAGTATTTCGTGAAAAAAACATGTAAAACATTGAAGGGAAAATTAAAGTCAATAAATCGTCAAAATAGTCTACGATGTCTGGGCTAATATTTTTGCGTGAAATAAATTATGGTGAACCGGTGATCGAGTTTTTTGAAGCGCAATTTCCGATTGGTAGTTGGATCGACGACCGGAAGGAAAAGGTGGACTACAAATACACATTTAAAAATTCCACATTGCTGAATCTTCTCTTTTTAAGTATAGTACTTGACACGAATCCATCAGTTGTGTGTGTTCAATTAACTCTCATTTATCGGAAAACGAACATTAAATGGCATGATTTCATCTAGGAAGACCTTCTTCGGATTTAAAACGAGTATGAATAAGTAATAAAAGAACGATCTATATAGTGATAATCGAATTGTTTCGCCGTGCGAGCATGTTATTTCCGGTTCTTCTGCGTCCGTCGAACACACTCGACTTGACATTGTTTGATGTTTCCTGTACGGTAGACGACGACATCCGTGTGTTTCTGCGTCTCAGGGTCAGAATGCGGAATGAATGCTTCGATTGTCTGCTGTAAAGGACTTCAGGGGGAAAATAATGGACGGGATGTCGGGCAAGTTTCGTTTATCTTACTCGAATGGGGAAATCGGTTGAATGATCAGCGAGTAATTGAGTGCCTGGATGACGCACGTGGCACGGATCGTCATGATCTAAATAATTTTCCATGACATTGTGCTGCTTCTCTATGGCTTATTTTTTTTTCTGTTGCAACTCTTGAGGAATATCCCCTGTATGATGGGTTTGCTTCATGGGAAATTCGCTGAGGTAAATTACGTTTATCGTCCGAAGGAGGAGTCCGTGTAACTGGATCACATATGATGACACAATTTCGTTGCCATCTGCGGTATTTCTGAAGGGAAAAAATGGGGTTTTAATCTTGTAAATAGCCGTAGTCCCATTTTGATCCCCGAACACTGAGTCTTTTATTTCCCTTAGCTGATCACTCCATTTCCCTCGTAACCATCCCTTAATTAAAAATATCGAGTACAGTATAACGTAATTTCTTTGTGTGGAATTTCTGCGCTCCTGCTTGAATTCTTTGGACACAAAATTATGTCATCGCATTGTAGACGTACCAAATATTCTGGCAATATTTTCTTTTGACCCAGCAGTTATCTCCTGTCGAGAGTCGTTATTTGGTATGGATGACCGTGTCCCGGAACCCGTGATGATACTTTGTCAACGTTACGATGGCAAAAGTTTTATTTCTCTGAGCAGCTATCATTCTTCGGAGCAAAAGTAAATCTTGAATTCTTCACTGAATCTTATTCCTCGCTTGTTATTGCAGGCACTTCGGTGGGTATTATCACGACATTCTCCGTTGTGACCTCGGGTATCATTTTTGCATAACCCTGGCTCGAATCCCCGCGCCTGATGGTAATTTTTGACGGCACTTCCACCGCGTGACACTACGTATGCATTCGCAATCACGACACGACCTTGAAAACCCTGAATTGAGAAAATGCCGGGAATCGATCTTGTCATTGATTCATTTTGCTGTTCGCTGTTTTTTTCGCATAAGAAAGTTCAGTATATCTCGGAAAACATGCCTCAAATATTTTCTTTTTTTTTTAATGTTAATTCCAGGGACCCTTCACCGGAGCCAGCATGAATCCCGCAAGAAGCCTCGGACCTGCTGTCATCAGCGGATACTGGGAGCATCAATACGTGAGTTTTTCGCGAAAATGTCGTTTGAATCGATTGAAGGAAGACATTGTAAAAATACTGTATGATTGAACGAAGTAATGAGATACATTTCCAAAACTGGCCTTAGACCTGCTGTTGTCATCAGCGGTTGCGTGGAGAATCACTGCGCGAGTTCGTCGCAAAAAATACAATTTGAATCGACATTAGAAACATTTTTTTTCAATAAAATTATTGAAAATGTGAGGTAAATTTTGAAAGCTGGCTTTCTTAAAAGTTATGAGTTTTTCCTGAAAACACAAAGGACATCAGGCCGACGCGAAATTCTAAACCTCTTGTTAATTTGAACGCATATTTTTCGTTTATTAATTGGGAGAATTCCGTTTTGGATTATATTCTTAAAATCATAAAATTTAAATGAAGCAACTTGAAAAGCTCGATTAGAAAAAAGGTAGATTACAGGTACTCCGAGGTAGTATTTGAATTTCTGCGTCTCATTATTATGCGTATGCGTCTTTGGCGGAACTTTTCATGAATTTTAGATAATTTGCTCGTTCGTGGTTTGTTGATTTAACGCTTCGTAAATATCCTGTTGATTCAGATCACTAATTCACGTCATCTTTCGCTGCAAATGGTCGTTTTTGAATACCAATTTGTTTCCAATTACTGTACCCCCCGGAACAATAAAGTCATTACAGCTGATTGATTGAGTCATCAGTGAGATTCATTTGATCGTATTTGTGTGCATTATTCTTCGCGAGTTTTTCGTTGTTGTTTTCGGTTTAATCAAGAGCCAAGAATGACGGAGAAAAGGGCCATTTGCATGCTGATGATGCCCATGAAACGAAATCTCACTAATTTCTAATTAATTTCCAATCACGAAACGATGGGAAGATTCAAAAATTCGCATCTCGTGAAAGAAACATTTCTTTTTCCCCCCGCCGCTGTTCGGTTCGGTTTTGTGGCAGAACAACCGAATCGGTTCGTCACGCCCCAGCGTAGCAAATCCAGCTTCAGTATTCTGTGAGAAGACGAAAGAGCTGAAGAACAGCGGGGCGACGTTGTGTAAATGTGGGTCTCGAGGTGGAAAGTGACCGTGGGCCAATTCCTGAAAGCCGAAAATTAATTCTAGCGATGTGTCTTATCTGGGAATAGTGGCTTTAAAAAAATAAAGAGGGTCACGAATCTCAGCAGGAGAAGCAGAGGTTTGATGCTGAACCACTAATAAATGTGGCGTATAGAAAGAAGCACGACGAAAACGATAGTCGACAACTTCACTTCTTTGAATGTAGCCATTGTTCGGTTGTGATGGTGCTGTACAGTATTTACAGTATGTAGAGCTTTCCTATTACGTAATTTCGTGTTTATGGGCTCGGATTTTGTGAGCGAGCCGTTTTCCTCTCTTGGCCTGTTGTTTTTTCGTTGTCTGGAAATTCGTTCGTGTAGAAAGTTCTCGAGGAAGTTTTTTAATTGATCAAGATCTCGGAAAGATATTCGAGTCACTTTCGAGGAGCTCATCGGTTATTTGGCATACTTACGTACAGTATCTAGAAAGCCAGGCAACTGAGGTCATATTTTTCCTCAACTACCGGGTCGTATTATCCGGGATCATGTGATGGGTGGTTCAAAAGTTCTGCCCTGGGATGAATTTTCTGGGTGCCCTAGTTTATAAATCAGGGGCATTTAAAGGAATCTCGAGAAAGACTTGACGCGATTCTCCGTTTATTTGCTAAGTATATGTTTCAATTCAAGTCCGAACTTGGGGGGAAATATTAATCGAAATTTTAAAGCAGTCTTTTACACTCAGGGTCATCAACTTTAGAATTGAGAAAATACGAACATATTTCTATTGAAGCACTGTTTTTAGATCTCGGAAACTCAGACGAAGATTTTTCAGGAGGCCAGTGCAATTGTTGTTGGTTTACTAATTTATGAACCGAAAATAAATTTCAAGGTGAACTTTGTCTCCTCATTTATTGATCGAGGTATTCATTTAGCTCCGATTTTTGTTCAATCCGATCTATGGACGACAAAAACATGGACCAGTGCTTTGGAAATGATCAAATACCAGTATTACGATTCAATAGACTACTACTGTAGTAGATGGATTTACTGAAAAAAAGTGGAAAACTCGCATGCGCATTCACGTGACTCAATCATTAAATGATTGATTCGCTCTTTTATTAAATTTGAGATACTACACTGCCATATTATGCCTCGCGATGAAGTTCAAAAAGGGGAAATAATTACTGCATTTATTACTAAACTCTGCTCAGTAAGATTTTGGGTGATTCGCCTGATGAGTTATGAATCGCCGATGAAAAAAAGTTCCGTACATTATTCATCATCCGAATTGGACAGGAGAGACCAAAACAACAAAAAACGGACCCAACTTATGAACCGAGCCTCGTACATGTTTGACGATTAAGGTGACCGAGATTGTTGAAAGATTTCCCGCTTTGGGTTTTTTGTTTTGTTTTTTTCCTGTGGACCAGCTTCTCACATCAGATAAACGAAACCTGATCTTGGGGTGCGTCTTTTTGAAAGCCTGAGATAAGCTCTCCGATCGCTTGTGAATCAATCGCGAATGACCCGGAAGTTTTTTTTTTCATTTTTTGTGGATACACTGTACGACGGAATCTCGATTTGCGGGTGAAGTATTCTTCCGGAGGTTTCATCCCCTATGAAAGCTTTCGTTCAACAAAAAAAAAAAAAAAAAAAAAAAAAAAAACCCTCGGGGGTAAAAAAAAAAAAAAATTAAAAAAAAAAAAAAAAAAAAAAAAAAAAAAACCCCTCGGTCGTCTACTTCAATTGGAAATTCAAAAGGGATTTTCGATAATTTATCCTATTTATGCTTAAGAATTAATTTAGAGCGAAAATCATTTAGCTAATCCTAAAGAAAATCAGGCACTTGAACTTGTTTGTGTTTAAATAATATCTGGGTCATAGTGGAAATCCTAACTTACAGATAGAATTAAAAAAAAAAGATTTTCGAACCATTTTATGCATCGAAAGGGAATTACATGTCAATTTAAACCAGTATACCAACAGTCTCCCGTCTTAGTCCTGCAATTTCCGGCTAACCTTCCGTTGCAGACTGATGAAAAATAGTAAATTATTTTAGCAAAATGTGTTATTTGTAAGAAAACGCTTCATACAATGAGTATATAAAGAGCTAAGAAAAAATCCGAGGAACCTACAGTGTCCGTCGTTTGGGAGCATTAAAAAAATTAAGAGTGCAATTCTCTTTTTTTATGGATATTCAAATTTGTTGTGGTATTTTACCCCGAACTTGAGAGGAGCGGGGATTCTTCGTTCTTCGGTAGCTGAATTGAAATGCTTTCAATTTTCTTCCGCAGTTTCATTTTTTTAGACACTTTTCATCATCAAAATTAATATTTTATAAACTATCAGTTGTTTGGTTTCTTCCTGAATTTATACTGTGATATTTTTCAATTTTAAATGCTTTGTTCTTGCATAAAATCCTCAAAATCACGAAAAAGGAGCGGACGTGCCCCTCGCTTGAAAACAATTTTCCGACGCAAAAACTTCGCATGCTAATTGTTTTGTTTATTGGGTTTCTTGGGCGGAATGGGATGCGTTTTTATTTGCTAGCAATACTTTGCAGATAAGTGGTGCGGTTGTTTTTTTTTCATGTAATGAATTCAATCATTATTTTCGAGATTCGCACGAATTTTCATGCTTCGTGCATGAAAGTATTGATTTAAGATTTTTAAAAATGTGCGGAGCTCAACAAGTTGGTGGAAAGTTTACTCAATGGAAGGAACAAAATTCCTCGATCAAACACCGCAGTTTCGATAATTGATGGTTCTCGGGTAAAAATTGAATCTAATCGCGTGTAATTCGTTCCTGCGTTATTTCATTTTTAATTATTTGATTCCTTTTTCTGCGGATATTTTCAATCTTTTCTTGTTCTCTCGTGTTTCGGAAGACGCGATTTTCTTCAAATTGAGAACAAGGGCAAGCGCAAGATTAAATTCAAATCTGGCTGTGAAATCCGTGAACGCAAATTGCGACCTTCACGATCATCCAAAATTGTTTTAGGTTCTGGATCTAGTATTTACTGCACACGGTTCGAAGTGAGCTTTCTCACAGATGACACTGAAACTGACATTTCGAATCTTGAAAATATACATTTTTTTGCCTTCTCCGTGCATTGCGTGATTCTTGCAAAAGTTTGAGCGTAATTTCCTCTTCACGTTTTGGAAGGTGTGAAGGTCAGAGCAGAGTTCAAGAAGTGAATTTTTGCTCCCAAAATGCTGAAACACGAAGGCGAAAAATATTAGCTTTCGGTCGAAATTGTTGAATCCGTCCTCGAGGTGGAAGAATTATATTTCACCTCGCGGGAAGAAGAAAAAAATCGCGATTTTAGTCACATCTCGGGGCTTGCTGGCATGATTTATGCCATTTCTCACCTAAATTTGAGGGTTGGCTGAATTGTGTTTTAAAGTTGTCAAGCTCTTCTGAGACATTCCCCGGGCATGCCAATGGAAATGGCCTTTATTTGAGAAGTCTGCCTGAATTTCCCTGATTCTCAAAATTGACTCCCCCTTGACTATTTTGCAAAAGAGAAAAAAAGGTCTTGTCTACTTTTCTAAAATGGATAATAACAAGGCTTCCTGCGAAAACTATAGCCTGGAATGACGTGGTTTCCTGCAAAAATTTGAGTTGGTTTTAGTTTCAGCCAGGAACAAGATTGAACAATTTTGAAAGTTATACAGGTACCAAATTTGGGTGGAATATTTTGCGGGTTGATCTAGTTGTTTTCAATTTCGGAATTCTCTTCTCAGAATTTTTCATCTTCGCTCAATCTTGAAAATATGCCTTGAAAAAATAAACCTGCGTCTTTCATAGCTTTCTTTTTACTAAAATGAAACACAGCAAGCTTTTATTCCCACAGAACACAAAGGAATACGGGGTGTGAAGTGATAGACAGTAGTTCTGAGAGATGCAAATAACAACAACGATTTTGTGTTGCTGATGAAAACTTAAGAGGTCATTGTTTAAAGGGACCAAAGGTATACTTTTATTTTTAAATCATCATTGAAGCTCTGTGATGAAATTTCGGTGATGATTGTTCCTCGGTGGCGTCTTCGTCTCATTTATATGAAACCCATTATTAAAGCCGCAGAATAATTACGCGAGCCCAGCTCGAATTTCAGTTTTTATGGGCTCGATTTCATTGTCAACGTGGCTGGTTTAAAAGAGATGTCGACTCTGAAAAGCGTCCCAATTCGTGTGTTAATGCTGTATATTTGAATTTAACCATCAATGGACTGAACTGTTGTTTTTCTTTTACTTCCGCAGACCGCAGTTGTAGAAAGAACACATTAAAGCTGTAATCATTTGGGCTTCGATTGGTCGTTCATTCAAGTCCGAAAAAAAAACAGCGTAGACATTTAACTGCTCCAGAAATTTTTTGTCCCCGTTCTTCGTGGGATTATTCAGGAAAACTTTATTCATGATACTTTATTATTTAGACGTTTTATTTATGTACAGTACCTTTATTACTCGAGTACCAGCACGTGCTCTTGAGCGATGCACACCACATTTTTAATGACTCTGACATCACAATACTTCAAAAATATAAGAACACCCAAACTTCGAATTTAAACGTGAATTGAATGTAAAATTGAGTGATTTTATCTTTTTTCCATTTAAATAACCTTTTTTCTGTTGAACTTGTTCCAAAATATCCTACTAGAATCGAGTATAATGCATGCCTAAATTTTTGAAACTTTTTGAAAAATGTATACCCTTCTATGACGTGCATCACCCTTTTTCCTTTCAAATCTGAGAGAATAAGAGCGCCTGCTGGTTCTCGAATAAATACGTAATTTTTATAAGATAATTTTATAAGAATTATTCCTATTACAGTACAATGTTTTAATATATTTAATTTGATTTATTTTGGGGTGCTTTTAAATAGGTGTATTGGATCGGTCCGTTGATTGGCGGCGCTTTGGGCGGTCTAATCTACGCCGTGCTGTTCGACGCCAAGTACTTCGAGAAAAGCGAGGACCTGACCCAGGAGACACCTAGACCCTTTGACGACGAGACTCACTTTGGCTCTCAAGGCCACTACGCTGAGGGAAAGGGCAGCAAGTACTGATCGTCTTCCGCAGTTTCTTCAGCATTCCCTTATTTAATTTTTCAAATTATTTTTTTTTTTGAAAAAAATACGCCTCTGCTTTGATTTCCGCCTTCTGACGCTCGTCCTGACCTAGCTGCTACGTATATAGTCGGAATCCTTTTGTTTTTCTTCTTGTTCTGTCCCTTCTTTTCGTCTCATCTATTTTTTGTTTGTTTGTTTCTTCTTCTTTTTTTTCGCGAATTTTAATGCATTTTTGCGCCCCCATCCATTCTCCTTATCCCGTCATGCTGCCTTGACAAAGTCGTGGTTCGGCTGAGCCTGTAGCCGCGGAATGAGCTGATGCAAGGTATAGATCTTGTTCTGCTTTCTTCATTCTTTTCTGTGATTATTAAAGCCATATAATCGCACTTGTAAATACCTATTTCTTCCGTTGAAGTACGTATATACTGTACTGTACATGGTATTCAGGTTACTTTTTGTAAGAGTGAATTCTGTTCACCAAGATCCTTTCTTCCTCGAGGTTCCTTTTTTCTTTGTGTTGATCGTCCGATCATCAGGTATCGTCCATATTGTATAATGTGGGATGGCATGATAATTTGCATTAAATTTAGTTGCATAGAATTATGCTGAAAAGTCTATGAAAACATTAAACAAGTATTAATTCTTTGTGGTTTTTTTAGGGTGATTCCCTGTATTTCTGTCGCAATTAATTTTTTGCATGATTATGTACCTGAGATGGCGATGTTTTCCTTAGTTTATAGTCGGCATGTATACGGACTACAATATTGTATGGTAAAAACTCATTTACGTGAATGGAAAGAGCTCATCCTCCGATTCTTTTCTTTAAAAAAAGAACAGTATCTAACTTAAATCGCTTGGAAGTAATGGTTTATGATGGAAGAGATTACATTACATTGTCTCAATTTTAGCGTATTTTTATGTACAGTGTTACTGATTTTCATGTATCGATAATGATCCGAATTAATTGCAGAAAACTCACGATTTCAACAGTAAAGGGTATAAATTGCAGTGGCAACTTTGACTGAACTGCGTTTAATCTTTCTTATTGTGACGCACAAATATCATTTGTGAGATTCTTTTCACTGAATGATGGAGAAAACAACATCGTCACTTAATTGAAGTTGAAAATATACAGTACTTATTTCATGTACACATCTTGGGAAGTTTTTTGTTCGCTGTGCGCATTTTATCGTCTATTTTGAGACAATGCCTCGCAGATTCCGTTCGGGAAAACGTTATACCGGTACTTGTACTTTTTTATGTGGTTGAAAATTAATTAAGGTGCATGATAGAATCGATGGTGTCTTGCATTCATGTAAATGTGGTGATCCATAGAGAAACGTGGTGGAGTTGAATGTTTCGTTGGGTGAATAATAGCATTTTTTTGCTACTAATTCGGTCACAGGGACCTTTCGTACACGGCCGCGCTGACTAACGACACCCAGCAGAGAGACACATAGTGAGTGATGCTAAAACCTGTGAATGTTTCGTTTTGTAGTTCGTTGCATTCGTTGAATTATGCAGTTGTACTTTCATACGATGTGTTTTTTATTTTCAATGTGTTTTTATTCTTCTTGCCAGGTCAGCCCGGTTCGGTGAGCAGGAAACCGCGTTGTTATCTTAAGACACAATGCTCGTCGACCACGACATCAGAGAACCGACGCTATTGATTTGTATCGGACAACACACTGAGTTTCTTTCAGCGCGGGGGCGTCTCTTTTTTTTTTTTTTTTTAGGCGCCTCATATCAACGGCGATGCTTCCATCATGCAGCAGCAGCATACGAGATTGGTTTATTAGGCAACAATATTGGTTCATATCATCCGTCCTCTTTATGGTTTTCTTCTCTCATGCTGTATTTTCCAATATTTCATTTCGAGAAGTGCGTTCGGGGAGTGATCGGTTAAAAATCTCATTGAATCCATTTGTTTGAGAGGATATAATTATTTATGCTCTGGAAGGGATCGAGTTGCTGCATGCGTTTACCGTAGGATTCAGATAACGCACTGTATTTTTTCCCGTCTGAATTTTTTGGAAACCGCTTCGGCCGTTTCATCTATTTTTTTTTTTTGGTGCGTGTGAATGTGTTTCTGATTTAAATGTCACGGTGTGAATATTTTTGGACGATTATAGCATTGAATTGCTATCTTTAATTTTGCACAGTTCTGATTGATTTATTTGCCGGGCTGGTATCTCGATTTTTTTTTTCGACGAAGCGTGAAAAACCGTGTGCTTGATTTGATCGGAAGAAATGAAACTGTCTCCCCACGTGTTTTCACTCATTTGATTCGAATTCATTTCACGAATACGAGGCAATATGTTATTTTCTATTCCAGTGATCTTATGTCCTGTTGTGGTCCGCGGACCAGCAGTGCCGGTCCACGAAACTGTTTCGCAGATCTGCGGGAAAACGTATTCCTATAATTGAGGAATATGTATTCAAAGCTTGGTTCTGTTTATTTTCGACTTTGTCTAAAAATTCGGGAGAATTATAAGAGGAAAAAGTATTTTTTGGGCTCTTTTACAGGAAAATGTCTTACCTCATCTGCCATTAATCAATGTGGACCTCGATTTAGTTAGATGTGCACATGCTGATGCTGTTACCGATTGGAACTCGAAAAGCTTCGTGACGACCTATATATGTGCGTCATCATGGCTTTCGAGTTGCTGATTGGAAAGCTAATAGTGTATGTTGAATGATATGTTTCGAACCTCCTTCTTTTTCAATAATTTGGTTTACAAACGATTTCCGGAGAAATTGTGTCCGTGAGATTGCATAGATGAGGTTGCTGATGATATATACTAACGCAACCGCTGCAGCAGCGGGCAGGCGACCATCTGCCACTGTGATGAGAGCGACATCTAGTTTGTTTTAAATGGCTTCGTTCTGGAGTTTTTGTTTGGTTGCAACTAAAAGGCGTTGAAGTAATGGTTAGTTTGTGACGCAATCCAAATTCTGTATGGAGTAATTCTTGGCACCCGCATGCAGTAGTGATAAGGAAGGTGCCATACTGCTTCATGATGCAGTACGATTGTGGAGGTTCTTGGCGAGCGTGCCACTTCGCTATTGTCAAATATCTCATTCTGCTTGAACTGAGAGATACTGTTGTCCTTGCTTATCCGTGGCGAGCGTGTTGGTGCATCATTGGAAATTTTCAGTGCTGGAATTACTTCTGGTGGCTTTTTTCGAAGCTGTGTCTCTCTCCGCTTAGTGGGCATGATCCGCATGTTGCTCCGTTTGCAGATACGGTAATGATGTTGACGTTCGGCTTAAATTTGTTACGTGCTGTGACGCCGATATTGCGGTCTAACCCGTTGTTATACGCACCGAAGTTCAGAACAGATCTACTGGTGGCGTCTAGTGCGCGTGGGGTGCTCACGGCAAAAGAACAAAAGACCGTGCGGAGTACTCCTCGCCGAGTCCGCGATCTCGATCGGGATTTGAGCAAAATTAGCTTCTTCGATACGTTTTCACCGCAATGTCCATCTTTTCCGGATCCTGGACATTACTTGGCTCGCCGTGGCTGCCACGATATCCTGTGGATGAACCACAATGGTCCCGTGATCAAGCCGAAGTCGAAGAAAAATCCTCTCGGAAACCAGCCTTTTGCTAAAGGAATTGTTTTGAAAACATTGATTCGAAAGCCCAAGAAGCCGAATTCGGCTAATCGGCGTTGTGTCCTTGTGCGATTATCTACTGGAAAGGAGATGTTCGCGTACGTCCCCGGGGAAGGGCACAATCTGCAGGAGCATAACGTTGTTCTTGTTAGAGTTGGCCGCCTGCAGGATGTACCTGGCGTGAAACTCAAGTGCGTTCGTGGTGCTTATGATTTACCCCATGTTATTAAAAAGAAGTAGATCTCAGCATGATATATTTTAAACTTGCCGAGGATCATTTTTAATGAACTATTTATTGGGAATACGTTGGATTTCTTAGACGTGAGTTTCATTCGGCGATGAAAATGCGTGTTGCTGTGATAGGCGCGGGTGCGGCGGGACTATGTGCTGTGAAGAAATTGGTCAGTGTTGGACACGATGTGATTTGCTATGAACGCGGAAGTGGTGTTGGTGGTACATGGGTCTTCGATGAGAGAATAGGAATTGATGATCATGGCTTACCTGTTCACTCCAGCATGTACAAAGGTCTCAGGTAAATATGCATTCCTCCTTTGCTTATACGGAACCTCAACCGCATTCGTATTGGTTCATGAAGTCACTTGGTAATATGTTACCAATTCCGACGTGCCTGATTCTCATTCAAGGACAAACCTGCCTAAAGAAATTATGGGGTTTCCTGGATTTCCATTTGTTGAGGAAGAAGCTTCCTTTATCAAGCACGAAAATGTTCTTGCGTATCTGGTGGATTATGCAAAGCAATCCGACTTGTTACGTCACGTCAAGGTTAGAGGCATTTACGCGATGTGTGCTGCTTCCATGCACCATATAATTAGCTGTTTTACCAAAAGCTCAACTGTTTTTTTACGTCGAAAATTTCGGTGCTTAGGTACTGCCCACCTGACAGTTTCATTTGCTGAATCATCCAGTATGATATAATCAGGATTTTGCTACCTTCGATCATTTTTTGTCCAAGTTTCCGGATAAAGCTGCACCTGTTCTTAACATTCATTTTTCTTCGGCTGTCAAGTGGGGAAAGAAATTCGCCAGAGCAAAAAACTTTGACGAGGGATTGAGGTGAAATTTGAGTGAGATGTCATTAATTTAAATTTTGGTTCACTCGTATTTTGTCGAAGGTGACGCGATGAAAGAGCACCCCCAGTATTTCTTGATCCTCCATTCTAGTTTTGTATCTCAATGAGACTGTTCTGCTAGATGCTGAGTTCGTACCTCAATATGCTTCATGTAACTTACAGTTTTCTCATAACGTTGAGCGGGTTGCACCGGAAGGCAGTTCTGGATGGAGGCTGGAAGTTCGTGATTTGCAAAATGCAGCTAATGTAACCGAGACATTCGACGCTATTTTTGTTTGCAATGGGTAATATTAATAACCGACAAGCCTTTTTTACAAGAATAAAATCTTCCAAGTTTTTCATAGGCATTATTTTTGTCCAATTTACCCAGCCATCCCAGGGTATGACACTTTCAAAGGGCTGAAGATGCATTGTCATGATTTTCGTGACCCAAAGTCGCTGAAGGATATTGCATCCCTTGCGTTAGTTGGAGCCGGTCCTTCTGGTCAGGATTTAGCCGTTGAGCTGTCTAAGCACGTCGAAAAGGTGTGTGTCTATCTTGAAGACTTACTACAGTAATTTCGTAGATCAGTGTCTTATTTTTCTGTTCAGATATATTTGGTGGTTAAGACCGGCTCTAAGACAAAGATGGGGGCGTTGCCACAGAATGTGGTGAGGATGTTCGATCCTAAGGAGTTCACGCAAGAAGGAATTCTGTTAACTAGTGGTGATACTGTGAAAGTTGACGCTGTGATGCTTTGTACGGGTTATCACTATGCATTTCCATTCCTTTCCCCTGAATGTGGAATCACCGTGGAACGTCAGAGGATTTCGCCGTTGTATAAGCATTGTGTGCATGTTCGGTATCCGACAATGTTTTTTATTGGCGTGGTGTCTACTGTCCTACCTTTTGTTCTCTTTCATTTCCAAATGGAATTTTGCACTCGCCTTCTTTCGACAAAGGGTGAAACTAAGCTACCGAGTATTGAAGAAATGAACCAAGACAGTGAGCAGGAATTAAGTCGAAGACTGGCGATGGGTTGGCCAGAGCATTATTACCATCGAATGGCCGAACTTCAGTGGGATTATATGGATGATTTAGCTTCTCTTGCGGGAGTTGAAAGCTTTTCTCCTGTCCTGAAGAAATTGTATCAGCATGTTGGGGGTTGGAGGATGATCGATTTGACAAGCTACAAAAATCGGAAATATCGCCTCCTCAATAAGGAAGAGTTTGTGGATATAACAGGCGATGGACGTGTTCCGAACCCTGGTCTGATCCCACCGAATGACTTCAGGTCTTGAATTGATCAATTACCAGATCTTCGTATTGATCACGGACGAGTTTATAATGTATTTGCTCGGTATACTGACCTTTGACATACTTTACTATAGAAAAGTATCCCATATTGGACTACGCCGTAAATTTGCTTGTAAAAGATCCCATATTCAATTGAAAAATTAAAAGCACAATACTGTATAAAGTAAAATTTCAAAGATGCTGAAAATTTGAATTTTAAATTCCTCGTTGAGAGCAAAGAGAACATATTTAATCTCGAATGCTATTCACCAAGTGCTTCTTACATTCATTCTGGGAGATTATCGTACAGGAACGTGCATTTTTAATGACAAAGACGCGGCTCTACTTGAATTCTAGACACCTCCGATGAGATGAAACTAGTCTCATATCCTCAGTCTATCTGATTTGAAATTTCGAGGGGAGGAAAATGTGGCCGTGTCCGGTAGTTTTGTGGTACGTCATACCGTACTTGAGCAAATACCGTATAAACTTCGTTCGTTCTTCATCGCGTCGAGACGCATTAGTGAAAAGTTAGCCTTTGTGATGACTGGTATTTTTATTTGGTTCTTGATTTCAGTTTGTAAAATTGGATGACTGGAAATGTGTCGTCAGTTGTCAAGTTATCCAAACACGTTGGATCTAGGCAGATGTGCATTTATTGTCTTTGTCTGTTTTATTGACCTGTCTATTCTCAAATTTTATCGTTTTTAATCATTTATTCGTCTATTTTAGCTTTCACCAGCAGAAACGTGCATTCTGTTTTCATATCTGCACTTCATTTCAAGTAGTGAATGATTTGTTGGATTTTTCTGATTGCATTCATGTCATGATTATGTATTCGTTTTTTATTGTACCATCGTGATCCTTGATCCCCAGGAAGCGCGACAAATGGTGAATGACTGCGCGAAAAATATCATGTTCCTGCGTAATGTCATAAATCCGTGCCGAGTGACGGCATGCGGGTGATGTGGGGAATGTCGATCATCGCTATGTAGGACGTGAGTGCGTGTCGTAGTGAAGTTGTGCTCCAGGAAGAGAGATAAAAGGAAGGGGAAGAGCGTTGCTACAGTGCAGGGAATAAAATATTCCCCGGAATCCTGTGATCATGCGTGCGACTTGTGTTCGCGTCGTGCCCATTCTCGGTCTGAGATCAGTGCTTCTGCTTTGTGTAACCTCGTCCTGTGTGATGTACAGTCCGTGTGAAACCGTACTGAGTCCTCAAGATTCCGACGCTTAAAATAGTAATTCTACCATCGCCGAAACAGATAGAATACTGCCTGTATGATCAGGCTTTCGTAGAAAATGGGGTGATTCATGTGTTCCTTGACTAGCTAAACTTGAATATTTTGGGATTTATGGGCATAATTTTGAACTTAGTGTTGAAGAAAGGTGGACGAACTTCGAAGGAATTGAGCTTTAAAAAATCAAAACTGCAGTTATTCAATGTTTGGGAGAAAACAAGGAATCCATTTTTTTTATAGTGCATTCCCGGATGTGATTTTTGTAAGAAGACTTATCGAAGTGACTCTTGAGTTACTAAAATTACTGTCCGTAGCATGCCAGTCATCCTTTTCTCTCATTTTGGCCGAAATGATTGTTCGGAAACTTTAAATGAAGTGCAAGATCGAAAGGCTCATTCGAAAATGGAAAATTCATCGAGGGTCGCTTTTTTGTGTCTATGTAAGAAGTTTTCATTCAATTTTTGCAGATTTATGTTTTTACGCATAGGTGCTCTGTCGTTGACTAAATACTTTTGAGTAAAGTTAATTTATTTGCAATAACAACTGTAAATACAGTATATATTTGAGCTGTTGAATGAAAGCTTGAATAATTAATTTAATGCTGTATATATATAGCCATACGTGCTGTGGGCGTTTTGGCAAATGTACATACAGTATACTGTGTACAGTACAGTATTAATATTTGTATCCTCTGTTTTCAAGTGATGGATGTGAAAAATGAAGAGATCATCTGTTTGAGTGACAGCAGTGATCAGGAAGTATGCATTTTAAACGAAATCTTACCGTGGAAAATCTTAGGTAAACGTAAACTTGGAGCCGAATCTGTGGAATATCGCATTTGGCCGACTGCCCAACCGCTGCAAGATTGCGTCTGGGTGTCTGAACAAGCCGTGTCGCGATTTCCGGCTGCAATTCGGGCGTTTGAGGAGGAAATAATCTCATTGGCGAAGAGGACGAGAGCTTCTATTAAGTTCAGGAAACAGTTCTCTAAAGAAGAAGCGAATGCATCTAGATCAGGTCACGTTTCTGTCAAACGCGGGCGAAAGAATCGTGATGATAGCTCCCGAAAAGTAGCTTCCAGAAGAACGTCGCGTAAGCGAGCGTATAGTCGTCAGAAGAAATTTCCCGGCAAGAGGAAACGTATTTCGAGAAAGAGACATTTTCGTGATGAAGTCAATTTCGGTTGGTATGGCGTGTTGGACGCGTTATTTTTCCTAACTGAAATGCTTATTCCTTTTTTTTCAGAAGGTGGATATGTTCCTGATGAGCCCATTCCGAGAGGGCAAGTTCTTGAAATCATTGCTTGCTTTTATGGGGATCAGACTGGTCCAAACGTTAGACCAGAGTACTTCTTAGTAAAGTGGAGTGAGACAATCCACCCCTCCTGTCCGCGAAAAGCATTGGATGGGAATGGCACTTTGCTTCCTTATGATGAAGTGTATGAAAACCACCAAACCAAGTTAATCGAATTTTATCAAAAACATGCAAAGCTCGTGAAAACATCTTGAGCCTTGTTTTGCAGCTTTTGGGTATGCCGTTGATGCAAACTTTTATATTTTTCTGGTGTTGAATAATTTTTTGAAATAACTAATCTTTCAATGTGTCACTAACATTGTGCGTAATTCTTGTGTTTGGGAAAGTTCCCACCAAGAACCGGATTTCGACTCGTGGAATGCGTTGTTCGGTAATTTGTTCGCGTGTATATCTTTTCCCCTGGTTTGCACAATTTTCGAACTTTACGAGCTCGGTGATTAATCGCAATTGCAGGTGATTCGTGAGAGTGCTCATTTCAGTGAATCCGTAGAGGCTTGAACACCATGGTCCGAAATGCTGGATGCAGATACGGTAACCTTTTAATTTTATGCGAATCATTTATTTGGTTTTAATCGCGATAAATTTTTGAAAACAGATCCCGGGATGTTTTTCGGCCCAAATGTTTCTGTTGGAATAATTGAGGGAAATCTTAAAGATCGCGTGAAGTATCTCCTGAGACGAAGAAAAATCACTGGATCGAATGAAGCTGCGTGGCTGCTGAAAGCTGTCACCTTGATTGATTTGACATCATTGAACAGTAATTCTCAATTTTTTTGAGCTCTCTTCATTTTCAAAATTACTCTCACATTAATTTGTTCAATCTTAGGCGATGACTCGTGGATCAACATTGAGAGGCTATGCGCCAAAGCTTTGAATCCCATCCCTTCAGACATCCTGGAAAGGCTGGGTGCGATAATTCCTGAGGTTGACCTCAGAGTTGGATCCGTTTGCATGTATCCTGGAAGAGTAACAGACGCAAAAAAGTGTCTGGAAAGGGCATCCGCATATAAGAGAATGCCGATCACTGTTGGTGAGTTATTTTTGCTCAGAAATTATGATAGTCAGAAGAAAATTTGCCGAAATAACTACGGAAGTTGATTTGATGGTTACAAAGCTGCTCAAATTATCATCAGAGTATACCGGTTGCTGCATTTACTCTAGATATGTAGGTACTTGATATCGTTTTATTAAATACCAAGTTGATCGAAGCTATAACTACCAAAATTTTGCTTTCATTTTCTATCGAGATAAAGTCAGATTGTTGACTTATTCGCCTACTACTAGTCTGATGAGTCTTCATTTACGTTGCGTTGCGTTCGAATACAGATTTCTTCGTGAGGATATTTTGGATCGTTAACGAGAATTAGGGTATAAAAAGAATACTCTATACGGCAGAACTTCCAAAGTAATGTGCTTCCAGTAAACATGAATATTGTCATCAACATTTTCCTCGTTTCCAGCGGCGAGTGGCTTTCCATCAGCTCAGTACAGATTGGAGAGCAAGCTTCGAGAGGTAATGGACAGTGTCGCGGATGGTGCACGTGAGGTAGACATTGTCGTACCTAAGGACAAAGTTTATGATGAAGATTGGGAAGGTGGGCAACTTTTCTGGTATTCTTCAGACGTGCGGTTTTCTCCATCAAATTTTTTATATTTTCGATTTTGGTTAGGAATCTATAATGACGTTCGCGCTTTGAAAGACGCTTGTGGGCCGAACGTGGTTCTGAAGACTATTCTGGCTGTGGGTGACCTATCGACGTACGACAATATTTACAAGGCGTCAATGATTTCCATGATGGCGGGTACCGATTTCGTGAAAACATCCACCGGGAAAGAATCTCTGGCAAATGCAAATCTCTTGAATAGTCTTGTGATTCTGAATTCGATTCAGGATTATTACCTGCTGACTGGGATAAAGGTTTGTTCATTTGTCCTTTTCCTAGAGGTGAGTTGCGGCTATCTACTAGTTTTTTTCAGGTCGGTTTCAAGCCCGCTGGAGGGCTTAAAACCTGGAAAGATGCTCTGCAATTCATGACCCTTGTTCAAGATGAGCTTGGTCCGGAGTGGATTTGTCCGGAACTCTTCCGTATGGGTGCAAGTTCATTACTGGGGGACATAGAAAATAGATTGCGTGCGCTTGCTTTTACGGGTGCAGTGGGATTGCCAAATTTGTTGTAGAAAGTTCGTGTTTCTCCTGAATACGCAAGAAACCAGGTTATTTCGATTCCATGTTTTTCAAGTGGTATGGTGCTAAAACAAGGTGCAAGCGTGAAAATTAATTCAATTTTACGGAAGTTTGTCGTGTGTGATTCGCAATTCATCTCCACTGGGTGGGCAAATGCTCCGGCCATTCCTGTAAAATGTTCGCGGTCTTGTGAAACCGGTTCGAACGCGAAAGCGAATGATGTGGAAAGTCGAGGTGTTTCTCACGGGGTGAAATGGGGTCCTTAATAGATCATGGTTTTTTTCTTCTGATTTGCAGGTTTTTTTGTGTGTATAGAGCGTTTCTGAGAATAGTGATACCGTCTCGTGTGCATATCTTCGATACGTGAGCAGAAAAATCTCGGTAAAACGAGGACTACCATGCCTCAGGAAGTGGAAATAAAAGAGAACGAACCTCTTGCTGTCGAAGATGGCAACAAAGTCCAGGTTGGTGACTTACCTACTTCGTATGATCAATTCTATATATTTTTTTCTAAATTTTTGTTCGGTGTTTTCCAGGTCGTGAAGGTAAATGATGCTGGCATCAACGGTACGACGGGAAGTCCAACTCGCGCGGCGCCCAACGTTACCTTCGCTGGCATGTCAAAAGAAGAACTGATGCAGTACGCCAATGACCCCTTCTGGGTTCGCTTGCGCTGGTTTCTTTTCATCTTCTTTTGGCTCGTTTGGTTCGGAATGATCGGCGGCGCTGTCGCCGTTATTCTCACTGGTATTTCGAACGTTTTTAGCATTTTCTAAAACCTTATGTTAATTGGGCTCCGTTTCCAGCGCCGAAGTGCCCGGAGAAACCGGATATTACGCGTCTGCAGGAAACTGGAATTGTCTACGTTCCGACCAACGCTTTCAAAAGCCCCGGAGCTGATCAAGTCGACATTTTCGGAGGTATAAAGCGCGGGCATATTGTGACTTTTCGTATTAATGAGAAAAACGATGATTTCCTTTCCGAAGTAAACGTTTGTGTGATAACTTTGGAATATCCCTTGGTTTGACAGAGCTGACCAGCAAGCTGCGTAACTTACACGACTTGGGAATGGAAGGTGTTTGGATTGAGCGCTTTGAAGACCAGCAAGATCCCATGGATATTGAGAATGTTGCTCCAAAAGTATTGGAGTTCTTAAAAGAGGCCGACAGGAGTGGCCAAAAGATCTTGATCGAAATCAATCCGAACCGTACCCCCATTAAGCATCCTTGGTTCGTGAAGTCAACCAAAAAAGAAGGGAAATATTCCAACTATTACATTTGGCGGCCAGCGGCGAACAACTGGGTTTGTATTTCCTCGACGATACCGTATTTTGAGTTTTTGGATTTTGAGCGATTAATTATTAATTTAACTTATCGTCACTGTTCCCACAAAAATTAATGTCGATTTTATCTGAATTATTATTATAATACTTATTTATAGCTTACTGCGGAGTCTGGAACTGGAGGAACCGCCTGGAAGAGGAACGACACTCGCGGGGAATTCTATTATCATGCTGAGGCCAATGGCTTAGCTGATCTTAACTTCAGGGATCTCAACGTCCGTGAAGATGTGGAAAAGGTGCTGAGATTCTGGCTGGATAATAAGGCTGCTGGGTTCGTCATGTTTGGAGTTAGGTATTTGTATGAGGATGCCAGCTTCAAAGATGCGGCTGTGTCCAAGAATGCTACTTTGCGGGAAAGTGGTGGATATTCCGCCCTGTCAAACGAAGGAGTCACCCTTGATCTTCCGGAGAACACGGCTTTGCTGGCAGACTGGAAGAAGATCATTGACGAATATTCCCCCGAAGAAGGAGCCCGATTTTTGGTGACGAAGGTAAATTACACTATCAGTAACTTAAGGGATTTGTATTGGAAATTGGCACATGTGGAAAGTCTGTCAACTCTGAAAAGTAATACGATGTGAAATCCAGTGATTTTTTTGGAAGAATTTATTGTAGATATCACATCCAACGTGCAATTCGTATGAATGGACGATCAATTTCTGTCATGCGAATATTTTTGTACCTTATCATCCTTATGTATTTGACGTGGACAGTTTTGAACGGCGAAAGTAATTTCGAACTTATTTCTCGCTCTTCGTAATACTCAGGTGAGCAGTGCGCCATCTACTGCCGTGATTGCGGAATCGTTTTCGGAACTCAAATTACCGGTGACCGGTTTCGAGATTCGAACTGCTGTGGAAGCTGCCGGTATCGGAAAAAGCAGTGGATTCGCATTGTGGCCGGTTGGTCACCTCAGCCGAGCGAAGGATACTTTCCATGATGAGAGATTGGTGGCGACTATGGAAGCGATTGCCGCCCTTCTGCCAGGTTCTCCTGTGCTGCGATATGATAACATTCTCAACGCGGATGGATCCAATGCCGGTAATGCCAATGTTCTGCTCATTTTCTGTAAAGCAGAAAGGGTACTTGCTAATGTGAGCTGCCCTGTCACATTTCAAAGTATTTTTAAGTTTCACTGCTGTAGCCGACTAGCTGTAGCAACTGAACCCCAACCAGCGTAACCTAACGCACAACGAGCCGAATGTGCTGTCTGATTCGAAAGGGTTGTATGTTTGATCACAGGTGGAACTCATTTGGCGGAGCTGATGAAACTGCGAGGAGAAAATGGGATTAAATACGGAGATTTTCGTGAAGCTTTCGTGAGCAAGGATATCTATTCGTTTTCTCGAATCTTCGGGAAGCATGGTTTTGTTGCTTGCGCATACTTCGGGGAGGAGGCTGAATTTCACGCTGATCTACACTCGTATGATCCCCGTTTCCCGGAAACGGGGGCCGTCGTTTTCCGTTCGGGGAATGATCCTGAAGCTCCGATTGAGTGAGTTAACTTTTTCGGTACCAATGATGTTCGAACTAATTTTTTTTTCTGTGTTTACAGCAAAACCTTATCATTTTCGAAGATCCCTGTTGGCAAGAATCAAATAACTGTTCTTGCTTTCGAGCCAGTTACCTCGAAATAAACCAGGTGCTGATTGATGGACTACTACCGGTGGAACTGCGAAAGAAAGGACTGGAATATTAGATTGTAATTCAACATATTTTACCGTAAAGTTGCTCTTCGTTCCCAGTGAATATTATTGTGACGGAAGCTTTTTGCTGTTATATCAAGTCATCATCGTAGTGCTGTTCCTGGAGCTGGACGATCAGATGTACACATGCTTGTTTTGACCGTCAGCGCCTCTAACGAGAAAGAATCTCGTGTGACACAATGATCAACCCTGTGTACTTTCGGAACAATAATAAATACAGTTGCTTTCGCCCGGTTATGATAGATGCAAACCTGGTGTTGGTTATTTCACTTTTCATATACAGGTGGACTCTCTCAGAACTGTCAAAAATATTTGTTAGAATTAACAAATATTTAAGAAGAAACTTCTTGAATATTTGAAGGAGAAAATTGAACAATGATATGATAGTCTTTCAGGGACCATTCAAAAATTCGTTGCCTGGAAAATATTGCAGTTGACCGAATCGTTGTATGGAGTCCACTTGTATCCATTCATTTTGTTTTATTTTCCGACATTGTAGAAATGTTCTTAACTTGTGGCGCATATTTTGAATCGTGAGGTACCTGAATGACTCGACAGAAGCCGATTGGAAGACGCGATGTTCGTCCGTGCTCTGATTTGTCGTTGCATAACCCGCCGCTTCATCACCACGAATGTTCAGACGACGTGTAGCACTTTCTCGCATGATCAAGCTTCGAATCACGCGTCTTCAATGGATCACCTTTCGGCTGCATCTCATTTTCTCGGCGCGGACGAAGTTGATGTAGAAAACTCCATTGATGGAGTAGCTAGAGGAACGTTGTTGGATGAATTTCGAACGAGATTGTATCCGGATATCGCGCATGATCCCGTTCTGACCGAGTTGGAAAGTGCTGCTAGTGTTGAGGAGGTGTTCCAAGTTTTTCGTAAAATTGACTGGAAAGCGAGTCCAGCTCATGTAGGTCAAGGTCTGGTAACTCTATGGGACCTCCAGAAAGGCTATCTGCTTTATAGTCCCAGTTTCTACGCGCTGGATAAAGTTCATGGAGAAGGTGAGTTTCTGAATTTCTTGAGATTTTACAACGTCGGCGCCCAATTTTCTCTTACGAACAGTTGAACTCAAGTTTAGATTTGAAATACTTTTCTTACGAATGTTGCCTACGTGCTGAACGGAAATCTCAATGAGAGATATCGCAGCGGAAGATGGGCGATGGGAACGAAGAAAATTCTGGCATCTTCCTGATCACTGAAAGATATCGTCGCCTCCTTGGGAATGGATAGGGAGCATCTTTGGTGTACGGATTAGGAATCGTGGCTGGCTCTTGGAAAACGGGATGTAACTACAGTCGTAGCATCCTTACGAAGCCTACTTCTGTCTTCCTAGTGACTTATTTTAATGCTGTAAATATGTATATACATATGTTAGAAGCGAACATTCGAATTTGCCCTGAAATAGCCAATCCTTGCTCCCTTTCGCCCCCGAGAAGCCAAATGTCAACTGTTTGTTGGGGTGATACCAGGATGTTTTTCTCTCGACCTGGAAAGTTTTTTCGCGTGAACACGTTGTACGTTTGTAACCGTGAGAAAATTGCGTGGACGACACGTGTATTCATTCTGTAGGTCTAGTAGCGCGTTATCTGCCGTATGGAATCACTGTAATTTACCGTATCGTGCCTCTGCTTTTTTTTCCAGCGAAGAGGACTCTTATGACGAAGTACCTGGAAGAAGTCAGCAATCGCGAGGAATTCCAGCGTCTTCTACATCTTCTGTCCACACGCTACGAGACTCTGCCGGATCTAGTTCTCTCGTGTCTCCTTTTGTATTTACCGAGGATGAGTGTGCCTTCTACGTCGCAGTTGGTCAAGTCCATTTGCGAGCTTATTCGCCCCAGGGTGGACGTTCTTCCACTTCCTGCTCTTTCTCGGCTGGCTGTGGCCGCTTCCGAGTCGAGAGCAGCTGACTCCGAGTTGATTTCTTCCGTCTTGAAGGCGCTTTGGAATAGCATTTCCGTTATGAGCAACCTGAATGATGCGAAGTTAATCGCGATTGTGCTTTTTCGATTGAACTCAAGGATCTCCACCGAACTTGTCGACCGTTTTGCCGATGAGTTGTGGTTGCTTTTGAATAATCGGGAGATTGACGAAAAGAACGCTTTGAACCTAGAAGAATTACTGGGCATCCTGAAGATTTTGAAATTCTTTTCATTACCCAGGGTGAGTTTCGCGTAATTCTAATCTTTCTTTTAACAAAGAATAGGGTTAGCAACAATGAATTCATGAAAAATCTGCGTTTTAGAAATATGATTTCTAAAAACCGAGCGATGTCGCATAGCATGAGTTATAACAAAAAATTCGTAGTCATCGCGAACGTGGGTTGATGATGGGTCATTGCGATTGAAGAACTGAAGAAAAATTACAAGGGAAAGTAGGAAAATCAAGAGAAGAAAACAATCGAGTGTATATTATCTAGAACTGCTTGAAATGTTTTCAGTTCCTTTCGAACGTTGATTACAACAATATTGAAACAAAGTAAATAAAATTCATGCAGGAACCAACAGATTCCATGGAAAATGTCGGCACGAATTCAGCTATATTTGGACGCTTAGGAAACGAAAAAAATTCCGCTCATTGCAGTAGTTCCAAATTTGGTGTGCAGGTCTCCCGCGTGGTTCTCTAGTCTTCGTATCCGTATCATAAATTTGACGAAGCATTCTGACTTTGATGTCCAGGTGCGAGACAGAAGAGTGCTTAGGCTGTGCAGTCGGCTGATGTCATTGGCATTGACCGGTCCTTTGGACGAATTGTGCCCTCGTTCTCTGACTGCCCTTGTTCATTGGTACAACTTTTTGGGCGAGCCGGCGAAAGTTTATTCAGTCTTGATCCCCGCGCTTACGAATGCCTTGGACAAAAGTGACGATACTGTAGAATCCGCGTGGATTCTGGAATCCATCGCGTCACTGAGCCCAATATCCATGAGGCCCCGTCTAAGATCTCAGGTGGAACAGTTCATACGTTTGGATCTAAACGTTTTCGGGAACCCGGTTTATCGGCTTCTGAAGTTTTCGAAGTTCGTGATTTCCAATAATTCCTGGCTATTATAAGTTTGACTTGATTCCTGTCGATATGTTGGCGTCAAAAGAAAATTCCGAGTTGAAGAAAAATGCTGCTGTGAAGGCCACATCAGAATGAGAAAAAAAACGAAATCTAGCGAAAAAATGCCTGAGAATTTTGTGGCGAAAGAGGATATTAAGCTTCCGTCTGAGAGATTGACAATAGATACAATCATGGGTTACGTAACAACCGCATTAGTGAATTATGAATAAGGTGTTGGATCAGGAACTATGACCAACTGAGAAAAAAAGTGTTCAAAAAATAATTTCATGATGCTTCAACTATTTTCATTAATGTACAGTATTTATTTGTGATTTATTTATTCATGCTCCCGCTGTGTAATTGAATTTGGTATATTTTGTTCGTTGAATCATTACCCTGTAGTCTTACACCCTTAATTATTTAATACCATCCAGCACATTTACTCGCGCATTATTTTTATGCATCGAATTTTCTCATGGCGCCAATGTTCTTTATAAATTAATTTTTCGCTTTTGTAGTTTGCCACCTTCATTCGTAACTTTCTTTTTTTAGGTGCACAGACCATCGTCTTCTCGATCGTTACTGGGATTGTGTAGCCAATCAGGTTACTGGGATAGAGTCTACGTACGAGCTTTGTGGGGTGATACAGAAGTACTTATTTTTCAACAATAATCTGAGCGGGTCGTACTACAACAAAAATCTTGAAACTGCTGTCGCGGATGTGATTCTGTCACTCTTCGAGGTGAGAAAGGTTTGAAAGAAAATTGGGAAGAAGTGTGGATAACGGGAAATGCTCTCTGAAATCATCTGAGTTGCCGTAATTCGTCCCAAGATACAGCTTAGAAATAAGACGAAAATGAATTTTCAGAAGTAGAACAATTATTTGTGTTTTGATTTATTCGAAAATCCATTTGTCCTATTTTTCTTTCGTTAGGACGGAAAATTTTTCCGACCTGTACAGTTGTCCCTTGCAGCCGCATTCCTTGTCGCGTATGGCTGGTCTCCAAGCGCGCGGCCGATCTTCGACGCGGTCTTCCTTGCTCAAGAACAACTGAATGCTGAATGTTTAGTGAATCTTGGTGCTGGACTGCAGGTTGCCCTTCATCATAAAAACAGGCGTTTCAGCGACGGGACCAGGACAACCCTCAATCATAAAGTTGAACCGCAAAGATCAAGAGATATCTACGATCTCTCGATTGTTGTGAATCGTCGTGTTGAATCTATGTTGGAAGATCGATTCATTTCCAACGTGGAAGATCTTGTTAAACTAAACATCACGCTGAAGTATGCGGATTTTAAAAAGTTCCTCTCACGAACAAATCCAAATAGTCTCTTCTGCGAATTATCTACAGGTATGATTTCCCCAATGTGACGAGGCTGGTGAACAAGACTAAAGAAGCTTATCTGGGTGAAGATTCATCAAAGTTGTCTGCGAGAGATGCACTCGATATGCTTGCGTTGACATACAAACTGAACTATTGTGACGAAGATCTTCTTTTGGCGGTTTTTCGATATTTGGTGCATGCGCCGAGTGAAAATTTGACCGGATTGTTGGTGGGGCGCAGTTTGATGGCCATGTTTTCTCTTGGCTACTTCCCCCGTGTTAACGCTGAGAACTGTGATAAATTTGTAGATATCTTGTTACGGTGAGTTTCTTCAATTTTCTTATGCTGTTGTTGATCGACTGAAACCTGTGAATTTATAGTCAATGAATTAACCGGAAGATGTAGTTCTGTATTACTCCGTGATTTTATTTTCATTGGCTGATTTACTATAGTTAAAGCAAATGAGAGCTTTTCGCATTTCAAACGTTACTCCGTATAGCTTACCAAGTACAGTATTCAGCCATCTGCTGTAGAGAACCGAATTAATGTGCAGGGGTATAGCATTAGCATTGTATGCAACCATATGGCTTTATATGTTTTAAAATGCGGTTATGTAGCTACTGTATCAGTAATTTTGCACTGCTTTGATTAGGGTATTAACACTTTTAACGAGAATCACTGATGTTCTGTATTGTTCAGTGCAAACTGTGATGTGTTTTTCTGCAGAGACAAAGGATTGATTCCAGGTCTTCACCTCATTACCTCAAGTTTGCTTTTGTCTGGAGCGGGATTTTTACCATCAAAATTGGTCAGTTCCGTGTTCACTGTAGAGTACATGGACTTGTTGGATGAGGAAATTAGGGACTGCTATTCGAAGGTGCGTGTTTTTATTTATATTTTGACTGCCATGACTTATGAATATGCTAGATTTCTTACTCTCGTCCAGGAGACGTATCCGGGACGAGTGCGTCATGCTTTGATGGAGCTAAATCGGACTGTTTGTCTGGAAAAACCGGAAGATAAAGTTCCATGGTTTCATGACAAATACTGTCGATCCCGTGAAGCAGAAAGTAATTAAAATTATCCGTATTGCTAGATATTGTTACCAGTTTCTGTATTATCTTCGCTTATTCCTTATTTCTTTGCAGGAAGAAAGTTTATGACGGCATTTCATCAAGATGTGCGTCATTTCATGCAGTCGGCATGGTGTGATTTGGGGACCGTTAATATTTACCCGTTTGCCCTCACGCCGTATTACATCGCTGTCGGTAAATATTTTCCACCTCCTGACGCACATGCCCAATTCATGACCAGTGAACTCTCGTGTATTTCAGATTTCCTTGTCGAAATATCGGGGTCAACTGAGTAAGTTACAATACGTTACTGCGCTCGACTACACAGTGATAACGGTAAACTTTTTATTTTACTTTCAAGAACAAGAAATGTAGCTGTCAGATTATTGAGTGAGCGTCATTTCCCCTTCAACCGATCCGTTCCTGTTGGTAGCTGCCAGGTGCAAAAGTGTCACCTGGAAATCATGGGTTTTAAAGTCATTGACGTGGATAAACGTGTCTGGAATTCTTTGGCAATGTCGGATCCGCGTCGTAAAATTGAAATGTTGCGTTCTGCGTTAAAAATTTGCTGATGAGTGTTCAGTTTGTCGTGATGTCCATGGATGAATGGTGCCTTCTGCCTCGAATAAAGACCGAATTGGAAGATTCAAAAGAAAATCTTCATTACTGAAGGCGCCTCATGGATGCAGTACTGTACTGGAAATCTTGCACTTGATTATTGAAATATCGTAGCCACTTATGCTTAGATGCTGCATTCTTGAATGAGATATATTTTTTTCTTCAGTTATTTGCACATGAAAAAAGTAGCTGATAGCATTCAGGTGTATGATGGTTAAAAAAGCTAAATACTGTACAGTACTTGGAAATAGCAAAAATTTGTATTTTATACAATCCATAATGACATTTCGCTTGAAAAACCGACGAATTATTAAGCATCACATTGATTAATTATCTGTTATAAGGCATTATCTGGGGCCTATAAATGTCGTTTTTGGTGGTTCCAGGAAGATTACTTCGCATGCTATCTATAGCTGCAATCTTTATGAGTGGGCAAGTTATATCGTTCAGTCTTGGTCACTAATTCAGTATTCTGTAATTATCAATTGTTCCTTGCACACTGGAGCCTAACATACGAGTGACGTATGCAACAAAAAGAGTTGCTGGGCCAAACTTGAGATATTTAGAAGAAATTGATCAATGGGACGAAAATAATATTGCTTGCATTTCTCGAGTTAGTTTCTTATTACTCAGTAAAAAATTATTTCGAAGACTATATACAGTATATTGTGCACGAACAGTACAGTACTGTACTCAGAAGTGATTCAATCTTCAAGAAACTTGAGTGTATGGGATCCCTTGTCCCCGTTTTTGCGCTTCACGATTTCATGAGATAACGGACCGTTCACATATCCCATCCAGGTCGCCTTAAGAAGAAGCTGAAATGGTTCTGTTCTAGTTTTCCATGTCTGAAAGTGTGAATCCGCTGTGACGCACGAAGTCGCTGCTCCCTCTTCCCAGCGCCAGGAGATCCGGGCGCCACTCTCCCTTCAGAGCCATTCGCCCCACCACTATATACTGGGTGAGTTCAATTTCAACTACTGTACTGTACAGTATATCCTGCATACGGCTCCCACAAAAACTTCCAAGAAATCATATTCTTGCAGCCGTGTATCGTTGAAAAGGTTTCTGCTGTAGGTACAGTCAAACCTGAATTATTCGCCACCATACCGTTTGTTTGTGAGATTTGTGGCGGTGGGACCGGCAGTTTAAAGGGCGAGATATGGTGGTTTATCAAAAAAAGCTAAAATTATAATATGAAAATTAATTACAGTATAATAAAAATCTGTAAACGAAATTCGTTTTCTTTGAGAAAAAAAAATCAAATTAACCCTGGGATACGTAAATTACATCTAGCTATTGTTCCCAGGAAATAAACTACAGTATGTCATATTAATTCATTCTTTTTCAATTGGAACCTCTTGCAGAAAGTTATCCTTTTGTTTGGGCTATTGACAAAATAATTGGGAGGAGCACATTTGATTTATTGTGAATAATTTTGGCAGATGGTGTTTTAGCAGGGTTTCTAATGCATCATCATTAAGGAGGATTTGTTTTTTCAAAATAAATTGGCAGTTGCTGCTGAGGGTATAGTGGCTTATTGGGGGCATCTTAACAGGGTTTGACTGTAACTGTATACCTCTACTGTATTAGAAAAAAATGCTCAGCAAATTATCTGAAAGTAGCATGCATTCAACCAAAATGAAATATTAGCTTGAATATATGTATAATTACTGTACAAAAAATGGAATTTTCACATCAGCAAAGGGGTGATGAATTGTCATTTTTACAATTTTGAAATTTACAATGCAAAAAACTCTTCATTCATAAGCATTTTCCATGAACCAGGGCAGTGATATACAATACTTGGAATTCTCAAAGTAACTCATGAATGGCATTGAAGGAAGGATGAATGGTGTGAGAGGAATTTTTCAGTTGTTGAGAAGGAGGCACATCATATTTGGGAATGCGGTTTCAATCCATCCAAATTTCTAGCATGAAAATTCAGGTTTGCATCTCACTTGAGGACACATCGTATACTGTACTCAATAAGTACTGTACATGCAAAAATTTTAATTTTCGGGTAATGCTTGACTTTAAACTCTGCTTGGCCGTATATTGGCTGATTAACATGATCATTTGAAAAATATATGCAGCTGATGAATGTTTCGTAACTGATGGCAGCATACAGCAATATGAATATACAGGGAAGAGATATTCACTTTCTCTTTTCTCTGATGGTCAATTGATGTGGGACTCTCATTTTGACGCAATATACGCATCATGGGGGCATAATTGTATATGTTGCTTTGGTCATACCATCTATACCCACAGCCTTGTGTTCCGTCTTGAACGAAAAATTTCGACCTGTGATAGCTTTCGTGACCTACCTAATTTAAGTTAATATACACATTTAACGTTTTTCTTTTTTTAAACGTTTTTAGGTAGGTGATTCCTCTTTGAATATTTATGCTGTATAGCACGATTTCTCAGAAATTTCAAGTTACAATCATTTTTAAAACTCATTTTAAAAAATTCACGCTGCACAAAGGGGTAACCTTTTTTCTGTGGTTCTATTACAGTTGAACCTCTCTAAGTCAAATTTCAAAGAACCAGCAAAAAAATTCAACTTTAGGTTTTGAATTGTAGAGGTTTGAGCTACAGAACATGGCCCATTTTTTTCTGGGAAACATATAGAAGAATTGTCCAAAATTGTAAATGGTGATCTTTTGAGACTTAAATTACTTTTAAATGAGTTAAAAGGATGCTGAACTTTGAGGCAGGCGTTTATTTACCCAATTAAGTATTTGACTTCTTTAAATATGCATCAATTGCTGTTTTTATTTATTTATTTTTTGTGTCAAGGAAAGAATAGCCAACAGGCCACAGAATATTTGACTTGTGGAGGTTTGAGGGCAAAAACCTTTGACTTAGGGAGGTTTTTAATGCATTGTTTCTTAGGGGATTGAGACGGGGACCTGAAAAAAAAATTGTCTTTGAGAGATTCTAGTTATCTAGGTTCAACTGTATTATGAGGATTGTCCCTGGTCTTTAAAATGTGTATGATGGCTTGGAAAACAGCGCAATGACTACAATCGCCATCTTGTTCATCATTGCTGATTTGAGAACCCAAAGAATTTATGATATTTATCAAATTACGGGGATGTCCAAACCATACTGTCTATATGCTGTGAGCAGAATTATATTGGACTGAATGAACTGTTGCATGGCTTTCTTATTGTCAGTATATATTTCCTCAAATTTTAAATGATTTTCGATTTCAAAAATTCCATTTTTTATTTGTTTTTGTGGGATTTTTTTGGATAACCAGGTTTTACGCATTTATGCAAACTTGCTGACTGTATACTTCACTCGAGAGAAATTCACGACCGCACGGGGATTTATTTATTATAAGTTCATTCAATGTGTCTATAGAAATGTACTTCAGTTCTTGATGAAAATATGACCGAAGGCGGTTCTTTCGCGAGGAAAACAATTAACGATAATGTGAGCGACAGCAGCAAATCACTTCGAGCGGAATGGTAATTTCTGTAAATGATTCTCAGACAGCAAAATTCCGTCCGTCCCGTTTATTGGTAACTCGGAATTCAGAAAGCACCGGGATTTATGAAGGAAACAATCAGACATTTACAGAGTGTCTCCTTAAATCTATGCCACTGCGCGTGAATTTTGATGACTCGTGGAATCAGCGATCCGATGACGCCTTTCAATCAATACCCTCTCGTTTCTTCATTAATTTTACACATATCCTAAAAAGGGTCGATTACCAGCACCGATACTTGTGCATTCCGACTGCTTGCTGGGGTTCGCAAAAGTCGGGAATTCATCCAAGGCTGACTAAGATGCCCATATTTTTCTAGTGCTTGATGTTAAATTTGGAGAGACGATTCGGGCCGATCTCAGCGACATAAACTGTTTTCCCGTCTTTTGAGACAACGACGTCGTGAGGATTCAACAGGAAACTTCCGCCTTCTTCTGACACATCCTGAAAAAAATACGCGTTTGAGTTGTTGAACTCTTGCATGATGCGTAGTTTTAACGTAAATTAAAAAGGATCTCTGAACAATGTCAATATTTTCACACATGCATTAAAACGGTAATACTCACAATTTTGATACAAGAAATGTATCTGAAACTTGGTACATATTTTCTTGCATGCCTGAAAATGTAATCAGCCTCAGGATTTCTTAATTTTCATTATATTTCGCCCCGAATTCATTACTTTGTTATGTTTGAGATACATATCATTAAGTTATTTTGTAAATCGTCTGGTTTTGTTCAACTAAGGTTTATCTTGGTCATTTTCGGAATTCAGACGACCGATATTCCAGAAAGCAGGACGACAAAGTTTTACAGACAGTGTATTGATCTAAACTTCAAAAGCATTCGTTTCTTTTCTCGTAAAAAATGTCCGTCACGTGAAAGGTTTAAAAAAGTTATTAAACTTATTAAAAAAATTCGCTATAAATTTATTTTACAAATTTATAGAAACTGTCCCGAAATTGTCATTTTATCGAAGTGTTAAGAATCAGCGCGCTTAAAAATTGAAGAAGCTGACCACAAAACTCCGGCTGTCGAATGCGAGTTAAAAACGTATATTTGAGGTATGTATAAAATGCCACTCAGATTATACAAGTTCTCGAGGTTCGCTTTTATAGCCTTGGGTATTTTTAGAATGATGTTTCATGTTTCTTTAAGCTGGATCAAAATACAATATGAAGACGAACGGCTAATTCCGTGGTTTCCCTGCGCGCTTCACAATCGACCAAACGGAGGGTAATCTGCATGCAAGTGTAGGTGGAATAAAAATAGCGAAAATATCCGGGGTAAATTTTAAGCTGGAGGAAAAAGTTTGTGATCGTTCTACAGTAGTACAATAATAACTCAATGGATGGAGGCACATGCAAAAAATATGTACTGTACATTTACGAAACTTATCCATTAGGTATATTATATGATTTATCGGAATGGAACTGATGATTCGTTTTCATCGATAATTTTTTTCCTTTTAATGTGATTTCGAATCTCAGAATGCTGTGACTCTTTGTTTGCTCTTGAGCGAGTAAAAAATAAATTCTGAATTCATATATGATTTATCGGAATGGAACTGATGATTCGTTTTCATCGATAATTTTCTTCCTTTTAATGTGATTTCGAATCCCAGATTGCTTTGACTCTTTGTTTGCTCTTGAGCGATTAAAAAATAAATTCTGAATTCATATGTGATTTATCGGAATGGAACTGATGATTCGTTTTCATCGATAATTTTCTTCTTTTTAATGTGATTTCGAATTTCAAAATGCTGTGACTCTTTGTTTGCACTTGAGCGATTGAAAAATAAATCCTGAAATCAAACAAGCCCAGTCAACGTAACCTACGAGGTTTTGTTATAGAAACGTGCTTTTTTCAACTCACTCTCTGCCAGGTGTCGATGATTTCGCCCTTGTCAAAACTTAGCACAACTCCATTCGGTGGCTCCTTGTTGGAGACACGCGGCTGACGAACTACAAAAATTGCTGGACCTGAAGCGTGGGAACAGATATAAAAATGTTCAAGGTTCCATGATTTGTTGAAAATCAAAACGTGAACAATTAAGAAAGCGTGGACTAACAAATGTAGATTTTTGTACTGTATTGTATAACATTATACACCTCATGAATGGTTTTAGCTATAACGTTTAGAAAAAAATCGAATCAAATTGCATTAAATTCTTTTTTTACATTATACCTGAGTTTATAGGTTTTGTGCGGAATTTTTCCTACAGAGATGAATTCCCCAAGAAGGGACAAAAAATGTCAAGTATGAACTGCAATTGGCGTGCGCCTACCACTGTGAATACTCCCCTTGACAGGGCCGCAAAAATAAAGCAATTGTAAAACTCGGCAGAACTACTGATAATAATAAAAACAAACCCATCTTTGGGCGAATGACTTCTACTGGGGGTCAAATGACCCCCCATTTTTCTGTCTCCAAAGAGGATCAAATATCAAGGGGGGCCAGATTTTACCAGCTGCTGGTCGCACTTGCTGCTGTTCAATGTGCTAAAATCATTTGTCGTGTTTGGAGTATGAAACGTTTGCTGTTGAAAAGACATGCTCCCCCTGATACTTAAACAATTTATCCCCGTCTCCCAAAATGTGCGCAGCCTTGTAAAACCCTGCAAATTTGAAAACACCCGGTTTTTCGGGAAAACATTTACTCAAACATTTTTTCAACGTCTTGATCCTTGAGTTGAAAAACACCGGCACCTGGTGTTTTTCGACTCTCAAAACCCAACCCCTGGGACTCACTGAAGACACCATGTAACCCCCCAATTTTCTAGAGTACAGTATAAAAACCCCTGATTTTTTTGAGTGACACACAGTCCAATTTCTTTGCTTGAAGCGTTTGCGTCGTATCCGAGAGATTTGTACTTTGCTCAAATTTTTGCTGGAATCCATAGTGAAAACTGTTGTGAATTTTGCTGTGAATATTGTCTATTTTATACAAGTGTCCAATTTGTTAAGAATCTGAACAAAGGTTTGCGCTTTTTGGGAGAGAATCCCTGGTCGGTTCGCGCACCGGCCAATTGCTGTGTTGTACTTATTCTTTACTTCTGAAACAAATGTCAAATCTTGATCTGATATATTCTTCATCTATTTTTCAAAATTCTCACTATCGTATAAATACCCTTCAATGTTTACGGCTTGATAAATTTCCTTTCTCCTCAATCAAACCGTACAGGTTTATTTATTTTTAAATAGGGATGGCCTTCCTGCGCATAAAATTCCGATGGGAAATTCACCAAGTGCTTTCTTACTCCGGTTGCCGGGGTTCTTGAAAAGATTATCGCATTTCACCAGTCTTTCGTGAGAGGGGAACTTGGGAATCAGCACCTGATGGACGTCTCATGCATGGGTAATGCGATGAAGAGAAACATATGCAAAACAATTCAAGAGGAGCGCCTTATTGTAGGACCAGTTTAGTTCTATGTACACACTTCAACCAGTGTCCAGAAATAGGACTCTGACAAGCATGTCCGGCAATTAATATATTCATCCATTATTTTGTCAATTACGCGCTGACAAAAACATGTCATGCATGCGAATTCCACTTTTATCTGTGCGTTGGACTGGAGTTGACAAATTGCTGGTTTTCAAACTTTGGCATTCGGAAAAAATCCATTGGGGAACATTTGAATTTTTGAAATGAATTTTTTTGAGGGAAAATAAACCAAAATTTATTTGAAAGTATAGATTGGAGGGTACAGCATGATTGCGCAAAAATTGTTTTACATTAAAGTGCAAATGCCCGCTTATTCTGTGAGTTCAGTATACTGTACAGTAGTCTTATTTACAGTAATTATGTTTTTTCTTTGCTCATGATCGAGTTGTTTTGGCGCCAATTTTCTCGGATTGTCCCCATACAGCCCCTAAATCATAAAAAAGGTGCAGGTCATACTGAAATACAAATTTTTCCATGCAAATATTTCAAAATTCTCGAGTGCATCATCCTTGGATAAAATTCCAGAAATTCCAGATGAATCTTGAAAAAAGAAGCAAATTGAATACAATTGGGGTATCATATTATTTGAACAAAAATCGATAAGCCAAGAACTTAGGTAATTCTTATACGAAAGCTCAGAGGTACGCATCTCATGCATGGATACGTTTTTACCTAATTGAGCAGCTTCAAAAATGAAGGTACTGCTGGAAGTGTCTCATGATGCAAGAGCGCGTATTACTAGAACAAATGTGGCTGTTCTCCCGTGAAATGATCCCCTTATCTTGATGAATAACTCAACAGAACCAACATATTCGCAATCAAATTTACAGTTAATTTAATGCAAGTGTGCAGTGGGACCCCGAGATGCGGACGTAATTGGTGCTTAAACCTTGTCCCTCTGTCGGAACGTCAGAATGTCAAATCAATTTTTTCGATAGAATTTAATGTTAATATATTTAATTGGTTTACCTGTTCATCAAAAATTAGGAATACTTTCTCCAAAAAATTGAATACATTTTTATCAACTTTCAACTTGAAGAAACGGAAAATATGCAAAATCAAAGCACGCAGAATCTAATCTTTTGGCATCAGAAGGAGCTCAAGAAGCAAAAAACAATAAAAAAATCTTGTTATTCTGTGTGCACATGATGAAAGAAAAAACCCTGAAAAAGTGAGCATGAAGTAGCCTTTTTTGATTATGATTCAGGGTAATTTTATGATAAACCTATATTTTTAATGTATTTGTGAATGTAAATAGCTCAGTTTCTTCAACAGATATCAAAACGTAGAAAAAGAAAAATGTTCCGATTTTCTAGAAATGTTGGAAAACTGTTCGTATCTCGAGTCATTGTTCGGATTTCAGGGGCGTATTTTTTAAAATTAGTATTTCTAAGTGTCCCAAAGTCGAATCGACCGTATGTCGGGGGTCCCACTGAATGATAAGACAAACGAATAAATCCCTGATTGGGCGAACAAAGCCCTCATCTCACCCAGGTTGCTGATTGCAAAAACGGCGCCCAGGGACTCGGATACCGGGAGAATCGCCAGGGGCTCGTCGTTGCTGAGGTCGGTTGCTGGAGTACCTGCTTCCGAAGGCCGCAAGCTGGCCTGGAAGCAAACCACTCTACCATTTTCTCTGTCTGCCGCACAGATGGCGTCGCGTTCTTCGATCAATGCCAAATCATGTACGACGTTCATATCTGTAAAATGTGATAAGAAAAGCGGGCAAAGGGAGAATAAGTTAAATGCGAGACGCGGAAAAGACCCCGCAGCGAAAAGACGCATTATTCGCCGGAACAACAAGGATGCATCCTCGGCGTGGGTATACAAGCACCATGTACTGTACACGCTTTTTCTGCTTTAAAGGTGCCACAAAAGATCAACACAATAACAACTGATTCCTGCAAAGCTTTATTTTTTTATGGGAAAGAAAGACTCGCACAACAAATGCGTCCCACTTCGCGGAATTTTGTAGACAGAAAATGCCTGAAATTTCAAGAAGGCGTCCTTTTGTTCACCGCTCAAATTAAAGCTGCTGATGAAAAAAAAGACACCTTTGGACCAAAAATTCACGCACGGATTAAATATTGCGCTAGAGGTTGATGTTGAATCAAATTTTTATGTTTCGCTTTGCTAAAGATCCCTTCCAACTGACGGGAAAATAAAAACAGATCCAACTTTCAATATGGGAAAAAAATTTTTCGAGCTCTGATTTGAAGTTTTATCAAAAAAATTACATGCAGGAGAAACATTCGGGTATTTTTCGGAATATGCATGAAAAGGTCATACGGTCTTCCTTTTTTGAATTTCACTGACAGTATTTATCGATTTTTCAGTTCTTTTTTATTTTGGTGAAATAATACGGTACTTACTGTGGGTGTATTCCCTGACAAATTTGCCGTCGGGATCGAATTTCATGACCCTCTTGTTGCAATATCCGTCAGAAACGAAGAAGTATCCATTAGTGGCAACTGCGACGTCGGTCGGTCTGCAGAAATGACTTGAATCGGTTCCTGATTTGAATTTTTCTCCCAAAACCAGAGCAGGTTTCGTCGAACCCGGGGAAAACTTTGAGGAACGAAGAAAAATGAATTCAATCAAAGTCCGTAAGCATTTAAGAATATACCGTTCTCACGGTACCATTGCCACTTGAATCTCTACTCAAATTCACTTATAAATTCTCTCATTTATGCGAATAAAAAGCAGAAATTCTTCTATTTTGACTTCTGGCAGATTCGAGTGCGTTTCGGGATCCATGATGTCATTGTGAATCGTGCATTCAAATTTTCAGGGACAGGGCGGGTGTGAAATTTGAATCTTGTCAAGTCATAATTCTGTCGTTTCATGAAACGTGTAGCGGTATTTGTTTGCAACTAAGCGTTAGGCTTAGAAACTAAGAGTCAGGAGTACACATCTGGGAAAATATTTGAATGGCTAACAATAAAGACTAGTTCCAAATGAAAGACAAGGTAAGTGGCTCTTCACTGTATATGAAGTTAATCATCAAAAGCACGATGTTTATGGACATTGCATAAGTTGAAGATTAGTGCCTTTTTTGGCGCAAGTTTCATAGATTTCCCAGCAAAATATTGAGCCTGAATGGAAACCTAAATAAAATAAAGGTGTTCCTTTGAAGAGACCATTATGTCTTTATTACGTTCAGCTATGGTTTGATATTTATTATACATAAGTTTTTCCTCAATTCTATGAAAAAATATTGTCGGGAAAGTCCCATTTTTATTACGGTATCATCGTTTATCATTTTTTTCTTGAAAGCCGATGCACGTCGGAATCTCTGACGAAAGAACTATTACATAACTTCATGAAATTTAATCCATGGTTCGGAGAAATTTCACAGAAACAACATGAATGAAATACAGCTTTAGTGAGAAAAAAAATTGCGTACCTTGAAAACTTGGTGCGTGCCCGTGTCAGTAACCCAAACATTGCCACGGTGATCGATGGTGAGTCCGTGGGGTACGTGGAACGTATTGTTTCCCCATGTGCTGAGTACTTTGCCGCTATTTTTATCCAGTACTGCGATCGTGTTGCCCTTTATGACTGGTGGTTTGCTGTAACGACGTACAAATCTACAGTATAAGTATATATAAATATATATATATATATATATATTATTTTCTAACCAAACGTGTAACAAACTACAATTGCAGTTACTGTCATTTATATGGTACCCAACCAAAAGCCCCCCCTGCCTAAAGCCCCCCTAGGTCAAAAGCCCCCCCTGCCAAAAGCCCCCCCCACCACTTTTTTTATAATTGGATGCAAGTTTGATAAAAGTGCTTGGTGGCCCTGAGATGGGCTATTTGGTTTCATTAGTCCTCAAAAGGACTGTTTAATAATCTTCTTCAAAATTGCCTTCTGCTGCCTCTTCCTCACAGTCACTGATGCTCTCCATGTCATTTTCTTCTAAATAGCCATTGTAGCATGCAATTTGACCGCCCTTCTGATCATTGATGATCTGAAGTGCACCAGCCATTAGATCAACAAGGTGAACTGTAGATTTTGCAGAAGTCAGCAAGTGATGATGCTTTGACATTATATTCAAAGAATC